CATTTAATGAAATAGCAAAGTAAGAGATCCAATTTGATTGAATCTTAAAAGCATTCATTGGTTAGAGACAGAGGGACACGGTTTAGGAGAAAGAAGATTTTGGACATGTTGAGTTTGAGATATCCATAGGACATCCAGGTGGAAATGTCAAGCAAGAATCTAGAGAGAGGAGACCATAGAACTCAAGAGTTCCATGATGGGACAGTTGGACTTGTAGTTGTGAGAGTCATCTGCATAAAGTTAGTGGCTGAATCCATGACAGCTAAGGAGATCACCCAAAGAGAGTGCAGAGGACCCTAGTGTACAGCCCTGCACAGAAGGTGGGACATTGATGATATTCCTGCAAAGGAGTCTGAAAATCATAAGAGACAAGATTTGTATGCTTTCAGGTTTGCAAATCGCTTCACATTTGATCTTCGCAATAACCCTGGAGGTTGATGCTATTATTATCCCTGTCTTACAGTTGAGAAAATTAAGGCAGATAGAGTTGAACTGAATTGCCAGGGTCACACAGCTAATAACTGGTTGAAGTGGGATTTGGACTCGAGTCTTCTTGACTCCAAAAGACCAGCTCTCTACCTACCATGCCTCATACAACCCATCTGCAGAGAAGGATTGGTCTAATAGGTAGGGGGGAAAATTAAAAAGCAAAAACCCAGGGAAGAGAGAGTATCTTGGAAGAGAGGATGTTAGCCATGTCAGAGGCTATGGAGAACTCAAGAAGGATAAAAACTAAGAAAAAAGTCATTGAATTTAGCCACCACGAGATGACTGGTCATCTTGGAAAGAGCAGTTTCAGTCAAGTGGTAGGGATGAAAACCTGCCCTTTCTAGTGGTTTGAGTGTGAAGGGGAGAGGGGTGATGGGATGATGGCTCAAGGGAATAGTAGGTGCAGTAAAGTTTTTTTTTAAGGACAGGGAAGATCTAGGTGTGCTTGAAGGCAACAGGGAAGGAGTCGGAGGAGAAGAAAAAAGTTGAAAATTAGGGAGAGAAATCAAAGGTACGGGCTTCTGGAGAAGACAGGAGAGGTACAGGCACAACTAGCAGGATTGGCATTGACAAAGGCCATCTCAGCCTGTGGGAGACACCATCATCTGGGTGGAAATGTACAGCAAGGAAGTTGTGATGGATGGCCCGGAGCTCAGGAGAGGACGAAAGAGAGGCCTGAGTGGCACTAAAGTTTCCCTGATGCAGCAATAACCCTGCTTTGGCCACCTTCTGCACACCTCCCAGTTTTACTCTCTGGAGCCCCATGGAACAAGCCAGTGTCATGGGGGATGGGGGGGGAAGGGGCAGCGGCAGGAGCAGATAAAGGACAGGATCTGGAGCTCATGCACCTGGCTTGGATTCCCAGTTCTGTGACTTATGGCAGCTTCCCACAAGCCCCTGCCCCTCGCTGAAGGGGGTTGATAGCGTTGTCTCTACCATAGGGCACCTAGGTTTAGCGAGGAGACAAGTGAAAGCTTCTAAGTGTTCCACAAATACATGTGGCTCTTGATGTCTAAAGGTCACCCTGAGGCCCTCAGCCAAGAGCTTGACCTTCCTCGGGCCCCAAGATCAGAGTGGAAGAGAGCATTCTGGGAGGTCCCTGCCTGGCCAGGGATAGAGAGCAGGCCTGTCCCCCTGGTGTGAGTCAGCACATCTGTCTCCCTGATCCCCAGGTCACTGAGCTCTCTAGAAGCGTAAACATTAAACCTGACGTGACTCAGAACCCTAGGCAGCCAGCGTCACCTCCCTCCTGACTCCCCATTTCCATTCCTGATACCTCCCTTCTCCTGGCTCTCCTGGAAAATTCAGAGTTCTCAGACTTCACCCTCCCGCTCAGTCAGCTAGCTTTTATTAAGTGCCGACAAGGTGCCAAGCCCCGTGCTAAAGCCTGGAGTTAACAAAGAAAGGCAAAAAACGGGCCCTTCAAGGAGCTCACAGTCTAATGGGAAGAGCACACACACACACACACACACACACACACACACACACACACACACACATACACACGTACACCAACAACGTAGAGAAAGGACAAATTGGAGCTAATCCATAGAGGAAAGTCACCAGCATTGAGAAGGACTGGGAGAGGGCGCCTCCTGTAGAAGAAGAGATGTTTGTTTGAGTCACTTCAGTCGTGTCTGAGTCTTCATGACCCTATTGGGGTTTTCTTGGCAAAGATACTAGAGTGGTTTGCCTTTTCCTTCTCCAGCTCATTTGACAGGTGAGGAAACTGAGGCAGACAGGGTGAAGTGACTTGTCCAAGGTCACACAGCTAGGAAGTGTCTGAGGCTGGATTCGAACTTACGAAGATGAGTCTTTCTGATTCCAAGCCCAGCGCTCTATGCAGTGTGGCGCCACCTGGCTGTCCCCAAAGAGGAGATTGTAGCAGAGACCTGAAGGAAGCCAAAGTGAGGAGGGAGGGCAGTCCAGGCACAGGAACAGGTGGACTGCCCAGTAGGGAAATGGTGTGTCTTGTGTGAAGAACAGCCAGGAGCCCATTGTCACTGGGGTGGGGGGAGGAAGAGGAAGGCTGGAAAGGTAGGAAGGGACTGCTTATAAGGGGCTTTAAAAGTCAGAGTAATTGATATCTGATTCTGGCAGCTGGTCAGTTAGCAGCTAGTCCAAAGCATGAAGATCTGGTGGATAAACCAGCCCCACGTAGAGCTCAGAGAAGACTTAGGAGGGATGTCAGAACTGTGATGTGACCCTTGCACATTTATTAAGTGCCTACTATGTGCCAGGCACCGTACTAAGCAGTGGGGATACAAATAAGATAAAGACAGTGCCTGCCCTCCAGGAGCTTACAGTCTAACGAGGGAAAACAACAAACAAAAGGAAGCTGAAGGGCAAAGGGAATGACAGCAGGTGGGGAATGGGGGTGCAATGAAAATGGCAGTGGAAGGGAAACCAGGCAGAGCAGCTGATGGCAGGTGCTCTATAAAGGGAGATGGGAAGAGGTTCTTGCTTTGACCTCTAGCCCTCCAATGGGGATGGTGAGGAGGGGAGCAGAAATAACTGAAGGGACTGATGAGGTGTGAGTAGCAAAGCTGAGGGGCAGCTAGGTGGCCGAATGGATAGAGCAGCTGGCCCTGGAGTCAGGAGGACCTGAGTTCAAATCCAGCCTCAGACACTTACTAACTGTGTGACCCTGGGCAAGTCACTTCACCCTGTCTGCCTCAGTTTCCTCATCTGTCAAATGAGCTGGAGAAGGAAATGACAAACCATTCCAATATCTCTGCCAAGAAAACCCCCAATGGGGTCACTGATTGTCAGGCATGATTCAACAACACGAGTAAAGCTTGAAGCAATCTGCCGGATGACAAGTTTATTTCTGCCCCCCGAGTGGGGCAGGATGAAGATAATGGTGAGATCGAGACCAGGCAGAGGAGCTGGTGGCAAGTGAAACTGTCTGTGGAGGGCTTTCTCTGGAGAGGTCAAGAAGCCTCGTTCTCTTTGGGCCCTGGCGGCGGGACCAGGGATAACCTGGCTGGACAGTCAGGAAGGTCTTCCTAACCAAGAGAACTAACTGTCCCAGGGTGGGACGGGCTGCCTCCGACACAGCTTCCAAGGATAAGGAGGTGCTGCCCCACGTCCTCTGTCATGGTCAGCCTGCACCTGGAGGCTGTGCCCCAACACACCGTGGGAAGCCCCTTGATGAGCCGGAGTCCAGAGGAGGACGACCAAGATGGAGAAGGGTCTTGAGTTCATGTCACTCATGGGGATGTGTTGGAGGAACATGTAAGGGGGGGCTGAGAGCTGTGCCCACGTGCATGAAGGGCTCCCCTGTGGAGGAGGGGTCAGCCTCATTCTGCTCCCCCAAGGGCAGAACCAAGAACCACAAGGGAGGCTGCAAAGAGTCCGACTAAGGCTGGATGTCAGAAGAAATTTCCTAACTGGATGGACAGCTCACATCTGCAACATGTCCTGAGGTAGAGTACATCCCGTCCAGCTCTCTCACCAATCCCTCCCCAGGAGCCACTGGCAGAGAGGCCATCGTCAGTAGGACTCATCATCGTCAATAAGACAGAAGCTCCCTCTCCACAGGCTTGTGGGGAGGAGTCAGTGCTTGGCAAACCTTCAAGCCTTCTCTGTGAATGGGAGCTCTAGTCCCCATTTCACAGATGAGGAACTGAGGCGAAAGACCAGGGTCACTTTCTCAGCATCACAGACAGCAAGTGCCTGAGAGCGGGTCAGCCCCAGGGAGGTGGTGGGCCCTGGCTGGACAGCCCCCTGGCAGGGATGCTCCGGAAAGGCTTCTTGCTCTGGCCTGGGCCTGCACATGTGGCCTCCAGAGTTGTCCAAGTCCGAGGTTCTGCCTCTCCACTTCTGTCAGTTTCTTTACTAAAAAAGAGGGCAGGGGGCAGGTACGCCTTTCCAGCTGTAGGGGGAGGGAGATGCCAAGAGTATTCTTCCACTGGCTCTCACCCGATGGGGACACACCTGCCTAAAAGCCACTTTTCAAGGTGGTGGGGGGGGGCTGCCCAGTCTTCTCTGCATAGGCATGTGCCTCCAGGCATATCTGGGGGATTTCTTTCCTGGATTCAAGGGGGCCCATTGTCCACTGCTCTCAAGCTTTCCCCCCCTTCACTCTGGAGTGTCCTCTGGGCAGGAGGGCACAGAGTTGTGCCTGGAAAGGACAGGTGACCGTGCACCCACAGTGCCTCCACACGGGGCAGATCACTGCTCCTGAATAAAATGCTGAGAGTAGGGCCCCATCAATATCTCAAATACGCGGAAGGAAATGTTCATTTAGAATCCATTTTAGGGTGTTTCAGACGGTAAAGTCCTTTTAACTAGATCTCTGGTGAGGGTGCAGAGGCAGTTTATGGGGCTGTAAATTCAAAGCGGAGCGGTCTCAGAGCAGCACACGTCTTCCCTGCACACAAGCTGTTCCTTCCATACCAACTGGGGCCCCTGCAAGGAATGTCGCCCAAATATTCTGTAAATCACCAGCAGGCCCGCCGTAATGTGAAATATGACTTTGAGTCGTCTGTTAGACACAAGAGGAGCACCCGCCTCACACCCATCACCACTAACATTGGTTATGGGTAATAACACTTTCCATCACAACTATTTTTGGAAAACGGGTTTATTTTAGACCTTCCCTCCCCCAAAGGATACACTGAAAACACTCTGCCAAGGACACAGCCTCCTACAAGCCACAGCCCATTAAGCCAGCGAGGAAACAGAAACTTTTCCCCCAGCCCTGCTCCTAGATGTACTTCTTCAGAGGGAAAAAGAAAAAGAAAAGAGGGGATGGGGAAAGCCAGGAAACCGTGCAAGGCTGCACACGTGTGAGGCCCAGGGAAGTCCCTCACAACACTCAGCTGCCCCTCTCCCACCCACCCTGTGTGTAGGAGCCCAGTGTGGAGCGGCCTGGGCGCCCAGCTGGCAGGGGCTCACCGTCCGGTGAGCGGCTAGTTTCAGCAGAGGCCCACAGCATGAATGGGGCAGCCCTTTGGAGGCTGGATGCCGGGTGCCTCAGCGAGGGTGAGCCCTTGGGCGCCCAGGTAGTCTCCATCAGCCGGCTCATGGGCTTGCCTCTCTTTGGCCGCAGGTTGGCTGCAGGCCCCAGGCTCATGACCTCCCTCAAGGAGCAGGCGGCCATCAGCCGGCTGCTGGGCTTCCTCCAGGAGTGGGATGACGCCGGCAAGGCTGCCAGAAGCCACATCCTGGACAAGTTCATCAGATTCAACTGTGGCAAGACAGCCCCAGAGCTGGAGCAGGAGTTTTCCCAAGGGGCCAGCTTGTTCCTGGTGCGGCTGACCACGTGGCTGCGGCTCACGTATCCTTTGCAGGCCTGGCTCTGGTGCCCTGAGATGGGGTGCGGGGGAACCTGGGAAAGGGGGCAGGCTGAAGCCTCAGACATTGGACACTAGCCTTGTGTGCCACTGCCAGAGCCTGTGAGAAGCAGGGTCCCCTCCATGCTATGCGATCCAATTCAATAGACATTTATTTATTTTTTACTATTATTATTTTTTTAGGCAATTGGGATTAAGTGATTGCCCAGGGTCACACAGCTAGTAAGTGTCAAGTGTTTGGTCTGAGGGCAGATTTGAACTCAGGTCCTCCTGAGTTCAGGGCCGGTGCTCTATCTACTGTGCTCTATCTACTGCGCCACCTAGCTGCCCCTCAATAGACATTTATTTAGCACCTACTGTGTACCAGGCTTGTGCTCTGAAGCATCCATGATAGTGCTCTGCAGGAGGCCTTGAGAGGAAGTTTGGGGGGGATGCTGCAGCAGAGTGCCCCCCCAACAATCTTCCTTAGTTGGAGGGAGCCTGAGGCAGGAGGAAGGAGGAAGCCGACTCTCTGTGACCCACTTTGGGGATTTCCTGGCACAGATACTGGAGTGGTTCGCCACTTCCTTCTCTGGCTCATTTTATAGATGAGGAAACTGAGGTAAACAGGGTTAAGTGACTTGCCCAGGGTCACCCAGCTAGTAAGTGTCTGAGCCTGGATTTGAACTCGTGAAGAGGAGTCTTCCTTACTTCAGGCCCGGCTCTCTGTGCACTGTGGTGCCACCTAGCTTCCCCTAGACCTATGCTTAAGTTTAGGAAGATTACTTTTGACAGCTGAGTAGAAAATGGGCTGGCTTAGAAGCCAAACAGCAGGATTGCTGATGAGAGGTAACAAGGGGCCTGCACCCGGTGGTGATGTTAGGGGCATGATGTGGACGATGCCCCAGAAAAGGAGGCTGAGCAGCATGGGTCAGTCAGGTAGGGAGAGCAAAGGCAGGAGAAACCAGCACAGAGAGAAGGGTCTGTCTGGAGGGGGTGACAGACAATGCCGGGGGCTGCAGGGAAGGCCTAGAGATGGGATAGGGGAGGAAAAGAGCGCCCCTCCTTCAGGAGCTCCCCGCGTTCCCAAAGGTTTTCAAGTTCTGGCAGGTCCATCAGCTGGAAAAGCTTCAGCTCTGGGTGTCTGTGCTCCAAGACCTAGCCCAGCCATGGACAGGAAAGCTTACCTCCAGAAGATCCCACCAGCTCTCACCCGATGAGTCCTGAGCCTGGCTGGGCTTGGCCAGCAGGGAGTAAGTTTTGTTGACCTATGCCGCTCATGAAGCCATCTCCTGTGGAGTGGAATTGGGGGGCTGTCCCCTTTGATGGGAGGGTACCCACAGGAGCATCTGAAATACTGTGTGTCCCTGCAAGGTAGTGAGCTCCTTCTCCCTGGAGGTCTCGAAGCTTAGCAGGTATGTTGGAGATATGATTACTCTTGTTCAGATGCCTCCAGAGGTCCCTTCCAACCAGGAACTTCTGGAGCTCTGTGACCCGGAGATGGGGAATGTCACTAACTCCTGGGAAGGAGGAGCCTAGGGCCCTGGGGCAGGGGTATTCCAAGACTGATTAGTCATGTGACAAGTCCCCCTCCTCTTTAAATGTAGTGTGTAACAGAACAGCACTGTTATGAACCTGGAGAAGTCTGGGGGCCAGGCTAGGCAGGCCACTTGGTGGGGGGGAGGGGAGAGGGGTAGGGTCACAGTGGGACGGGCTGGGCTGAGGAAGAAGCTAATCTCTCCTTCCAAGCCACAGGCAACCCCAAGAGAAGGTCCTTAGCTGATCAGCACACACACACACACACACACACACACACCCAGGACCCAAACCTTGTTCCATAATCTCTCAGCCTCCAGCACTACATGTGCGGCTCTCTGGGAGAGCTGAGGCCAAGCGTCCTTGGCCGGCCTTCCTGTCCTCCCTCCTATCCCACACAACTCACATTCCCCTGATCATGCATTGTTGACTTCTTTGTAAAGGGTTATTTAAAAAAAAATCACGTTGGAGACTGAGATTAAGGAAAGTACCTAAAGCATTGGACGCAGGGGAGGGAGTATAGGAGGGCTCAAGCTACAAAGGACTATGGAGGCCACCCAGGCCAACCCTCATCTTACAGAAAGGGAAACTGAGGCCCAGAGAGATTGAGGGATTTCCCCTAGTAGAGTGGAAACTCCTTCTTTTGTCTCCATGTGCCCAGGGCCTGGTGTGGTCCCAGGCACATCCTGAGTACTTAATCATTGTTTGGTGATTGATTGATTTGATGGCCCAAGGTTTCAGTTAGCGAATGACAGAGTCAAGATTTGAACCTAGCTCTATGACTGACAATCCAGAGCTTTTCTGTCCCACCCTAAGGAAAATGAGCATGTATTTCCATACAACAACAGTTGGCCAGCACCAATCCCTTCCAGGATGGTTGCAAAGTACTTTGCATTGTGTTCTCCTTTTCGTTATCCAAGGATTCCTCAACCAGCATTGTGAGGACCAGATTTCCTGGCAGCTTCCAGCAGAGCCCCTAGAGTAGAGGCTGGTCCTTGGCAGGAAGGCTCTGGCTTCACTGCCCCCCCCACTGTTGACAGCCAGCCATCAGGACAGCTGCGGGGGGAGGGGTAGGAGCACAGTGATCCTACCTAGGGGTGACCAGCAGTGCTGCTCCCAAGATTCGTTCTTTAACCAGTCATCCAGCTACATGACTGGGGCCTGCTTGAATAAGCTGCTGAGGTCTATCGGCATCTTTCTCTCTGCTGTGAGCTGGTGAGTCTGGAGGGGATCTGGAAGGAGGAGGGGAGGAACCTTTGGTTCTGGGCCAAAAAAGCTTGGGAAGCTCAGCCCAGGTCCCTGAAATGTCACAAATGGGACCAGGGACAAGGGTTCTGCAGAGCTAGGCTGGGCCGGTGCCCTGATGTTCAGCCAAAAAAGCCCTGAAGGATCATCTAGGCTAACTTGCCTTCCCCCTCCCAACCCCATTTTACAGAAGAGGAAACTGAGGCCTATAGAGAGGCAAGGACTTGCCCAAGATCACACAACAGTAAGGGCAAAGGTGGGATTTGAGCCCCAAACCTCCAGCCCCCAGACAGGGCCATTTCCCAGAAGAGAAGGGCCAAGCTATCTTGAAAACCCTTTTGGCATCCTTCAGGATAGGTGCCCACTGAAAAGTTTGCAACTTTCTTTTTTGTGTGCGCTTTGTGACCTGTCCTGGGCAGTAATCGGTACCTTGTGGAGTTCCTTGAGGTTGGAGGAGTCTTAACCCTCTTGGAAATCCTGGGGCTGGAGAAAATAAAGGAAGAGGACAAAAAGGAGGCCATCCTGCTGCTCCAGATGATCGCCAGCTGTGGACGGAAGTATAAGGAGCTCATCTGTGAGAGCTACGGTAGGCAGAGCATGTGCTGCGACTGGCGAACGGGCTCCAGAGCGGGGCGCTGCCTGCCACCTGGATGCACGGCCACTGCCCCTGCAGCCACCACTCCGAGCTGGCCAGGGCAGCCCCAGCCCAGGAACCCCGCGCCTTGGCTCCCCCTCCGGGGCTGCCAGGGCCGGCCCAGGGAATCGGAGTCTTTACCGTCAACACGAGGCTTGTGTTTCTTCCTGTCCCACAGGTGTGCGGTCCATTGCAGAATTTATGGCAAAGTCCAAGAGCGAAGACACCCAGGAGGAGGTGCAGATCCTGCTGGACTCTTTAGTCCACGGGAACCCCAAGTACCAGAACCAGGTGTACAAAGGCCTGATTGCTCTGATGCCTTGCGCCTCCCCCAGAGCCCAGCAGCTGTCCCTTCAGACACTCAGGGTGGCCCAGGTGAGCATACTTGCCACCTCCCAGAAAGCAGCCCCAAGTAGCCCTCCAGCTCTCCTGTAAGTCCAGGGTCCTGCCTTAGCCCACATGGAAGTGGACAAGAGAAGCCGCAGGCACATCCCACAGGGACTCAGTCTGGGGGGAGGAAGTGGCTTTGTTTGGTTGGGGACGGCACTGAACTGGGAGTCTGGTCCTCTCTTCTAGCTTCCATTTCCTCAGATACAAAATGGGGCTGGGAAAGGAGCTAGCTGAGTTTGTACTCAGAAGGTCTGGGGTCAAACTCTATCACTTGCTATGCCTGTGTGACCTTGGACACTTTATCTCTCTGGGTGTCAGTGTCTGACCCATAAAGTAGGCAGAGAGAGGAGGAAGGGCAGGAAGTGCTGGACTAGAGGACCCCTAAGGAGACCCCTTCCAGTTCTAAATAGATATGATCCTATTACATGGTCTGAAATGTGATATGTAATGTGTGTGTGTGTGTGTACATATGTGTGTGTGTGTGTGTGTATAAATAATCACACCTATATGTGGGGAGGGGGTTAAAAATACCTATCATGTGGTTTTTCACTTGGAATATTAGTATGTGTGTGTACCATTACATATGTAAAAATCTAGTCAAGGTAGTTGAATTAACTAGACTGCAGTATCACTGTTAGTCACCAGGTGGCACTCTACCCAAGCACCTCTTCTATAATGATTGAGCCCAAGCTAATTTTTCATCTCAGAGCTGACACCTCAAATTCAATGGTTTTCTCCATCTCTAATGTGGCTTCTTACCACACAGCACTTTCCCCTTTCTCCCAGGTTTCCATCACAAGACAATATCTGTAAAGGGCTTTGCAAACCTTAAATCAACATATAAATGTTAGCTATTACTATTAGCTATTATAGTCTAGGTGAAATGTTGGTCAAATATTTAAATATGGAGGTGGCTAGGTGGCACAGTTTGGAACCAGGAAGACTCATATTCTTGAATTCAAGTCCAGCCTCCGACTCTTACTAGCTGTGTGACCCTGGGCAAGTCACTTAACCCTGTTTGCCACAGTTTCCTCATCTATAAAATGAGTTGTAAAAGGAAATGGCAAACCACTCCAGTATCTCTGGCAAGAAAATCCCAAACGGGGTCACAAAGAGTTAGACACAACTGAAATGACTGAACAACAATAAAAACCTAGATTAAATTAAATAAGAGAGAAAATCAAGGAGTGACTACAGTCTAAGGAGGGGAAAGGTGAAGACCCTGAGATCACTGAAAATTTATTATACCTAATAATATAATGAATAAAAAAAAAACAGTACCAATGTCTCCAAATGATTTTGACCTAGTGTAGAAACATTTCAGGACCTACATGCAACAGTGTCTACATGTGTGAACCCCGAACCCCATGAAACCCAATTAGAAAGAGTCTGCTCTAAGAAAGACAAATGAAATTGGGATGTATGTGTCCATGGTTTAATTTCTCAAGGTGGCTTGACATGCATTGCATGGGAGTTCCATCCAAAACTGGACCCCCCTCAAGGGGGTCAGTTCAGAACTGGGTCGGTTTGGCATTTTGGGATACAGCATTATATGCCCTTTGAAGAGTAGGTATTCCCAAGGGGTGCCAGTTAACCGTGATTGGTCAACATACTAAGAGGTAGGAAATATTAAAATGAGGTCTTGAGTACGTGCTTTAGATCGCACTCCACAGGGGCCAATATTGCCTGCCATTAAAGGAAATACCACCGCCAGTCTTCGAAGTCTGTCTCCACCCAAACCTGAGTAGGATAAAATCAATTCAGGCCTGGGTTGGTATTTGACCAAAATAAGAAGATTCGATGCAATCTCATTATCAGAGATGTCCCTCTGAAGAACTTTGATCAGAAGGCTGGCAAGGGGGGAGCCCTGAGTCTCCAGGACACAGATTACCAAGAGAAATCATTTTTAACACATGCTATGGCCAGTGCCATGGTGAAGATCATAGGAGAGATGAAGATATATCTACAAATACTTCAGAGAAAAGGAATCAAACATCATCGTGGCAGAAGAGACTTGACAAAAACATGAAAGATGTGCTAAAAGAAAGTGGAAGGCTATATCAATAGCTGTCTGATATGTTCAGTGGAATATTTGAGCTCCATATTGTCAGGAGAAGAAGAAGAAGAAGAAGAAGAAGAAGAAGAAGAAGAAGAAGAAGAAGAAGAAGAAGAAGAAGAAGAAGAAGAAGAAGAAATGTGCAGAAAGGAACTTGGAAGATAAAATACAAAAAGTCTTTGACAACTTTAATCAGCAGTTGAAAGTGAAAACCAAAAAATGAAAGTGATCCAGGGAGTCAAAACACTGGAAAGAACGAAACAACCAATTCAGTACCAATCAAAAATCATACTATAAAGGCTTGAGAGGTAAAGAAATTAGAAGAGAGAGAAGACCTCTGAATAAGGAAGATATGAGAAATTACTAGTCACCCCTATGATGGCAAGAAGCCCAACATAACAAAAGGCAAACTGGATCACACACCAAACAGGAAGCTCACCACATTATAATAATTAATTTTAGAAAAATTATGTTGTAGAGTGCCTGAAACTTCTGCTTTCTCTGTAGAAGTGAAAAGCAATGAGTCCAAACAAGATGTGTAATTATTAACTCAATACCTCAGGGACACATGAATTATTAGTCAGTCATTCAATAAGCATTTATTAATGATTTATGAATTACTAGCAAAAGACTTCACCAGCTTCCTCTCTGATACAAGCCTGATCTCACCTTTCTCAATGCAAGGCAGCACATATTTAGTATTTTTTAAAATGGGAACACCAATGATCCTACAAATACAGACCAATTCTGTGTTTTATATTTTTTGCACAAAGCATTCATAGCTTGTATCACCCCCCCCAAAATTACATACTTACAAGAAAATAACATATTGTCAAAGGACCAAAAAGATTATTCCGAAAAATCTCAGGGTGTAAAGAGCAAGTCATTACTGATTCCATGATTATTGAACAAACCACCCCAAAGCAATGTAACATTTCTACTGCCTTTACTGATTCTCACCAGCCCTGTGGCTCAGTTTGGCATTCCTAGATGAGGCACATATAGCAGATGTAACAAACAGACCCAAGCTTGGTGAGAATGTTCGAGGGTTTGATGTGCGCATGGAAAAGAGTTCTCTATTTATCTCATCATCAACACTGTAATATAAGGAACAACTGATATGAAATGTGGCCTCTCAAGCTCACTGGAGCTCTGTCTAGCTTTAAACCCCTATTCATCACCCCTGAAATGAACCGAAGATGGCTTTCAAGTCGAAGAGGGAATCCATACCACAACATTGTTTGAATAACAGTGTACACAGATGATGTCGCATCGTATGATCCCACCAAAAAACACCTTAAACACGCCCTCATCTCCTGGACTCTCTCTCCAATGTCATCCAGACCCAGTAAATATAAAATTCTTAATGTGCACGAAGGAAGTGAAGGCTTTGAGTTTGAATCTGGTGGTCAAAATGAACTAATGGATAAAAACAATACTTACGATGTATTGGTCTTCTCTGACAAATTAGGCATGAGGCTATAGTGGAGGGGCCTGACTTAGGCCAGTCATCTGGTAGTGTAGGTTCAAGTGCTGGAATGAAATGAGAACCTTGTAAGTCATTTAGCAATAAACAAAAGGAAGTCTGCTTAGCCATAGCATAGAAAAGATAGTTAGCCACCACCTTTGGGCACACGAGCTAACTTGACTGAAGTATTGAGGCACCTTGAGGTTAGAGACATGTGTCAAGAAGATCTAACCATCCCCCTCACAGCAATGGTGATGGAGAGAGCCCAGGACCCAGAACTCAAGAGCCTTGGCAATGGCAATGCCCTCCAGACCATGGTCGTGCCTCCAACCCTGTCATCATGGAGGGAAGAAATCACTGTGGAGAAAGGCCCCGCTTTCCCTGCCACCACCAATACCAACTTCTGACAAAATGCCACCAACAAGCAGGCAGGCTCAAGAGTCCTGGGATTGGCAGCCCCCTCCTTCCCCAAACCAACAGCCATCAGCCAGGGAAGATGAATCACGGAAACTCTTTCTGCATGTACCGCACCTCCCGTCTCCTCAGCTACTACAGCTATTAAAACCCAGAAAATAAAAGTTCTCATCATCAGTGTCCTTGTCAATGTCAAATGGTTCAACTTCAGAAAATGATATGATTTTATCAGTAAAAAAGATACTGCCATCTGCTTTGCAGCCAAACCTAAGGATCATGGGATCTTTCCATCTGACTTGCAGCTGAAACCTTCCATGACTGTTCTGGTTTTCTATTTGTATCTCTAGCTCTTAGGATGGTGCTTTGCACATAGTAAGCACATAATCAATGCTTTTTCATTCACTGAATCATTCAACAAGGAGGCTCTAGTACCTAACTTAAGTAGATTCGGCCCCCCAGTCTCTATATGGAAATATATCTGGTCAACAGGGCAAGGTATGGTGACTCTTTGGGCATCTGCCAAGTCTGAAGGGCCCTGACTCCACATTGGGTGGACCTCGTGTGCCCTTAGGCAACCATGAACCTGGCCAGAAGCCACCAGGAAGTGGCATCCACAAGGTGCCCTTGAACCTTGGCCCCCAAGGTCAATTAAGTTGTAGGAAGAGCTTTGTCACCTTTCAGGGAAAAAACTATCCTAATCCACATGGATCAGGGGACCAGTTTGGGGAGGGGAGGGTCTTGGGAGATAGTGATCTTGTCAAAAAAGAGAAAGATGAGGCTATGAATGTTAAGAGACTGGTTGACATCCTGAAGTCAAAGTTTAATGGGAAAAACATATTTAACAAGTATTTATTGAGTACCTACTGTGTTCCAGGCACTGTGCTAAACAACACCTCTACAATTCCAGTCTCAATGTATACTTTTGGAAAAGTGAAATGGATCTAGGTAGGCAAACAAAAAACTTAACAGCGCTTAATGAAGCACAGACACCTCAAGGCACCTACAAGAAGTTAATACTTCATCAGAAAGGAGGAAGAGAATTGATAGACATTCTCAAAGTGCATGGTAAACCAGGTCAAATTTTGTAGAAATACTTGAAGAACAGACTCCACAAAATAATAGTAAAAGTTGATGGAAGGTACATTACTCATTTTATTGAATGCAGCTTAGCACAGAGGTACTGAATTTGAGAGTTGGGAGAGACCTCCATGTCTATCCGTACACCAAAGGAATCCCCACCTCAACATACCCAACATGGGGTCATGCAGCCTCTATCCAAGAAGGGGGAGCCCACCAGCTCCCTAGGCAGCGCAGGCTACTTTGGGCAGCTCTTATTGTTAAGGAAGTTTTTGGGGGGGTTGTTTTTTTTTTCTGTCTTGGAGCTGGAATTTGTCACCCTCTCCCCAGCAAGCATCGTGCTAAGTGCTGGGGACACACACAAAAAAAGAGGCTTCTCTTTAATGATGCTTTCTAGAATTTTCCCAAGAACTGACATCAAGCTCCCTCACCTCAAGTTTGCAGACTCTTGTGTTTCTTTTTTGGAAAATCGGGACAACCTTTGCCCCTCTGCAGCCTGATGGTACCTCTTCTATTCTCCATGATCTTTCAAATATCCCTGACGGTGGCTTAGTCGATTCCATTGATCAGTTCTTTCAGCACCATTGGACGGCGCCCATCTGGGCCTGGAGACCGTGAATGCCTCCAGGACACCCCTCTGTTGTCTTGCCGTTCTTATCTTGGGCACCAGCTTTCTTCATCCTTTTTGTTCTGTGATTTTAAAAAGTCATTCTCTGTTTCAAAGAAAACAGAAGCAAAATAATAATAGTTAATGGTGAGAACAAGGAATGAAGATGTGTCTGGCCTGGGCACTTCCCTTAAGATGGAGGCTCTGGGAGGAACCAGCCAGTGAGGAGACGGGCCAAAAGAGGGGAGGGCAGTTCCATCATGAGAAGTCCAAAGATGGAGTCAACCTGTGTGAGAAGTGTTCTGAGACATGGTAGAGAAAGAGTGGAGACTCACCTGTGATTACATTCTGAGATCAGATGAGCTGGGCAGAGGGGGAAGGGGAGGTCCCACAAATCCCGTATCACATCTGCCTCCCTTACACAGGCTCCGAACAGAGCCTGTGAAACAGTGAGGGTGCAAGAATGAGGTCAAAAGGGCCTCCATGAGCGAAGACCATGGGAATAATCATAATAATAGCTTGTGCTTATATGGCACTTTAAGGCTGGCAAATCCTTAAATCCTAAATGTTATCTCATTTGCAGCCGGCCCTGGAAGGTAGGTGCTATCATTATGCCCACTTTACATTTGGGGAAACTGAGGCAGACGGCAGTGAAGTGACTTGCCCAGGGTCACACAGAAACTAAATGTATGAAGCTGGATTTGAAAACTCAGGTCTTCCTGAGCTCTATGCACTTTGCCACCAGCTGCCTAGGTGAGCTCAGTCAGCAAAGCTGACAGACGTCAAATGACTGAATCAGGCAGTGGAGGGGTTTGTGATGGCTGTTCAGGGTCAGGTCATTGCCAGGAAAAAGTACCGAAAGGTTCTCCTTGGGGAGCCCACACATATTGACTAATGGCAACTAATAATACTAATGGCCACACTGCCATAGTACTCTATGGTTTACAAAGCATTTTACATGTGTTAACTCATTTGATTATGCAGTGAAGTGGTGGAAATGGGGTGACAGATCACATCACCATTCCTTAGGCAGGGGAGTTTGCTGAGCAGAGGATCCAGAGATATGTTTACCTTGGGGGTGGGCTAGCCCCTCTGGTGTGAGGGCTTGCCGGGCCCTTTTCAGGGCTGCTCATCCACCTTTGGTGTCCACCTGTCACCCGGGACTCACCTGCGGCTCCAAGAAGCTGGGCAGTGGCCACGCCCAGTAAGACCGTCTCAGCAGACGGGCTAAACGGGGTTAAGGGTAACCGACAGCCCTCAGACCCATCGAAGAATCAGGGAAGCGTCTACCCTAGGCACGTGAGGACTTCTAGCAGAACGGGCGGCTGAGAACAATCTGTTCCAATGGCGGCCGAAGCAGACGCTGGGGAGAGCTTAAGTTTCTGATCTGCGCTCAGGAAAAGAAGCCAAGGACTGAAAACCTAAGGACTCTTTAGTGGCTCGGGGAAGTCCAGGCTGCTCAGGCTTTCCTCATAGCCACCCTGTGAGGGAGGGCTTGCTTTCATTGTTCCTCCCATTTAACAGATGAGGAAACTGAGGCACAGAGAGACTTGTCCAAGATGTCACACTGCTTGTGAGAGGTCTGAGATTCAGATTCCCCACGTCAAGTTCATTGCCCCACATCTGCTTATCTGCGGGCTGCGTCAGTGTCCAAAGGGTCTCCGTTTTGCCTTGTTCTCTGTCCCTTCAGGCCATTGTGGGGACCGTGCACCCCACCATAGTGACTTTCTAATGGGGGTACTGCGCACCATGCACCTGGAAGTCCAGTATGAAGGTAGGAGGGCATTTGCCCACCCACATGGGTCCTCTTGAAGTCTGGTGGGAGGGGTCACTGAAAGCAGGCTGGAGGGGTGGATAAGGGAGGCCGGCAAAGGCTTGGGGATTCCCTGCTGGAAGAGATCCATTGCTCAGAGCTAACCTGGGGATGCTCAACAGCTGGAGGAGGGTGTGGAAGGACCTGAGGGATGGAGGGCATGGAGAGAGGCCCTTCCTTGCTCCTGAGGATCCCTGAGGGTCCCTTGTTGTAATGGGCTAGGCGGGTTGAGCTGGACCCCGGGGTCAGAGGTTGGGGGAAGGGGATGGGAGGAGGGCAGGGCTTGGAGAACAGCCCTTCCTTGCTCCTGAGTACCTGAAGGAAGCCAGGCACCTGGGCAGCAGCTCCCCACTCCGGGGCTCAGCTGTGGACTGAAGCAGGAAGAAGGAAGTTCAAGGGAGGAAGAAGAAAAAAGGAGCTCCCAGCTCATGTTTCTATATCACTCCCCCACCTGCCTGTCCCTAGGTATGGCAGAGGGGCCCCTGTCACTGCCCACCCTGGTTGGCTTCATTCAGGGATCCCCAGGAGCAAGGAAGGGCCATTCTCCATGCCCTCCCCCATCCCCCAGCCTCTGACTCTGGGGTCCAGCCCACACCTGCCTCACCCATTACAACAAGCCCACCACCCCAGGTTAGGTCTAGGCAATGGACCCTTCCAGCAGGGCGTAAAGTTGGCCCCCACCCCATGTTTAAATGTGGAGCCCCGTAATGAACCGCCACAGGTCATCAAAACGCTCTGGCCTTACCGTCCTGTGCATGTAGGGACAAGTGTGTCCTGTCCTCTCCACGCCGCCCCCGGCCATGCCCCTGAGACCAGCGTCGCAGAAGACACAGACACTGGCAGGGCTCAAGAGGCCTGGTAATCAGGGAGGCTTCACAAAGGAAGTAGGATTTGAGCTAGGTCTTAAAGGATGAGTGAAATTTCAACAGGCAAAGTAAGGCAAGGGAGAGCATTTCATGTCAAGGGGAATGACATGAGCAAAGGCAGGGAGGTGGGAAAGTAAAACGCTGAATTTGGGACGTGAACAACATGGGAGTTTGTTTTGCTTGACTTGATATGAGGGTTCTATGTTTCTTTTTCTTTCTCTTTTTCAATGGGTGGAGGGAGGGAGGTGGAAGAAAAAATGCTTGGTAATTGAAAAAAAAAATTTTAAAAAGGAAAAGCGATAGAAATCTATTTTTACAAGATATTGAGGGGCAGCCAGGTAGTGCAGTGGGTAGAGCACCAGCCCTGGAGTCAGGAGGACCTGAGTTGGAAGGCGGCTTCAGACACTTGACACATACTAGCTGTGTGACCCTGGGCAAGTCACTTAACCCCATTGCCAACCCCCCCCCCAAAGTATTGGATATGATGCTGACCCAGATCTAGCAAGCTCAAAATTAGGTCACGGGGAGGAGTCGGGTAGGGGTTAGGGCTGCAAGGGCCCCCAGATTCCAGGTAAGGACACTTTACTTTACCCTGCAGGTAATGAGAGCCCCTGAGAATTCTCGAGCAGGGGGTGACGTAATGAAAGACACACTCTGGAGTAAGAATCAATAGGACGCGGTGGCTAATTGGATTGGGGGTGAGGGTTGAAACTGGGAGACACAGCCATGGCAGGAGGGGCCAGGAGCAGGCCCGGAGGAGACCTTCTGTCCAGCCTCTCTGCGCGTTCCCTCCCCTGCCTTCGTTCTGCCCTCTTCCGCGTCCACAACAGAGCTCATTCTCTTTTCCCCGGAGCCCGCCTCCCTCCAGACCTCACAATATCCATCACAAGCATGACCGCCTCTCAGCCTCCCCACCTTACACCTACAGCGGCATCTTCAGTGCCTCCCTCCAGATACCCGACAGTTGCCAGATCTGTCCCAGTGGCTGACTTTGCACAGTCTCCCCTCTGGTGCCAGCCATGCTCCAGGCGCAGCACCGCAGTGGGGCTTGTGTAATTCCTCTGTGTTCCACAGCTCCACCCTCACCTCGGCTGCTCCTGCCAAATCTACCTGAGTAAACATTAGTGGCTGTAAGCTAGGGACTTAAATGTGCAACAGGAAACAAGGGCGCTGTGGCCATGAGCATCACAAACATCGTAATCCCATACTTCCTCCAATGTCACAAAAGTTAAACAGACTTAGTTAAGCAGTCACACTCTCTTCTACCCTTTGAGGAAATTATTGAGTCATTTTTCAGTTGTGTCTGACTCTCCATGACCCCATTTGGAGTTTTCTTGGCAAAGATACTGGAGTGGTTTGCCATTTTCTTCTCCAGCTCATTTTACATTTGAGGAAACTGAGGCAATCAGGGTAAAGTGACTTGCCCAGGGTGGCCAGATTTGAACACGGGAAGATGAGTCTTCCTGACTCCAGGGCTGTGGGCTCTGTGCACTATGGCGCCACCTAGTGGTCCCAGGAAGGAAACAAACCTTGTTAAATAGGCTTTATAGGTAAACTAAATCAGGTTACAGATTAAAACACTTAGGGGGCTCTCACCATGTACTAATTTGAGAGGGGAGATTTACGTATCACCAAGGTCACTGAGAAAATGCAGCAAACATGAGACAAAAAGCTGAAGTAATACAATAACAATCATCAATAGTAAATAAAGCAAGTCTCCTTGTGACCTGGTAACCCACTCCCAATGTCCGTGTAATCAGCATATTCCATCTTGGATCCCACATATCCCAGGTAGCTCTCTAGTCCTGGAAACACCTTCCCTTAAACATTCTGGAATGGGCCTCGTTCTCAGGGCAGCTCTGAAGGGGCTTCGTCCTAGTCAATCTGCCCCTCTGGTTCTAAGTCACTTGCAGAGATTCCTCGGTAATTCTGCTAAAATCTGCCAGTAACAGGACTCAATACAATTTAGTACAACTTCCTAAATTTGCTTTTCCAGTAATTAGCTCATGTGGTCAAAACTGACTCAAACCTTATGAATCTAACCCTATTAACAACAGAGTTATAAGGAGAATGACAAATTAGGAACCCACAATTCCCCTGAAACTTCAGAGAATTTCAGTTTCACATACCACTTGCTTTTTCTATCTTCTATCCAAACCTTGTGCCTGATATGGACACTGTCATCAACAGGCTGAAGAAAGAGAGACTAATCTGGAAAATGAGCCATTCTGTCCCTTAGTATTATCACATAGATACTTCAAAATACAAATTTAAAATTTCTTTACAAGTATTAATGCATGTAAAGTCATTAATCCAAATTGTTAAAATGTATTGCTAAAATATACTCAAGGCCAGTTTATCCCACTAGAAACATTTGAAGGCCATATATGCATATACACACATGCAGACATATATCACACGTGTGTATATGTGTGATATGTGTATATATATCTACATACACATGTATGTTCAGGAACGACTAGTATTTCTGGTGTGAGGACTTGGCTGCTTTCTCCCTTTGGTGTCCACCTGATTCACACAACTCTTACCTATGGCTCCAAGAAGCTATACGTGCCCAGTGGCCACACCTCAGTAAACTGTTTTGGCCGATGGGCTAAAGCAGGTTGAGGGTAACCGACAGAACTCAAACCCACCAGCGATGTCAGGGGAGTGCCTACGCTAAGCATGTGCAGACGCCCCCCGGTGGAACGGGCAGGGGTGACCAGTTTGTTCCAATGGGCCACGAAGCAGTGCTTAGAGCTTGGTCAGACGTCAAAGACTAAGGTCACCCACTGCATCCCAAATCACGACCGGTTGTCTTCACTTTTGTCTTGCTGCTGAACTCCAATGACTCTGGAAGAAAGAGTGAGGCCTATGAATTCCCACAACTCTGCCTCACTTAAATCCAGCTTATGCACCAATCGAATGACATCACCCGTACCATTTTACCGTTTCTACCTACCTCAGAGCCCTGTGGCGACAGGCAAGTGACAAAGCAGCAGATGTAGATGCACGGGGAGCTGTAGTCACAGCCCTGCCCACAAGGTGGCTCAGGCCATAGGGTCGTCTTCTTACTGGCTGACGCAGCAGTGGGATTCAGCCCTGGATGTTTGATCAGCCTTTTTGTTTTTTGGTAACTAGTAGTTAATTTTTTTCCAATTACATGTAAAGATAGTTTCATTTTAATAAGATTTTGAGTTCCAAATTTTTCTCCCTCCTTCCTTCCTATTCCCCTCCCTAAGACGGCAAGCAATAATACGTGTGCAATCACGGAAACGTATTTCCACACTAGTCATTTTGTGAAAGAAGAAATAGAACGAAAGGGAAAAGCCATGGAAAAAAGTGAAAGTAACGTGCTTTGACCTGCATTCAGACTCCGTAGCTCTTTCTGTGGAGGCGGATCACATTTTCTGTCAGGAGCCTTTTGGAATTGTCTCAGGTCATCGCATTGCTGAGAAGAGCCAAGTCAGTCATAGTTGATCATTGCACAGTGTTACCATTGCTGTGTACAGGGTTCTTCTGGGTCTGTTCACTCCACTCAGCATCAGTTCATGCAAGTCTTTCCAGGTTTTTCTGAAGTCCGCCTTAAGCAGCCTTTTTTAAGGACCACACCGCTCATCTCCTAGTGCAAGTAAGGGGCTAGAAAAAGTGCCCTAAAAATTGTCTGCTTCAATTTAGAAGTACTATTTACATATAAACCACTGATATGCTAACTAAAAATTATTATTTATCAAATCAGATCATCTAGGAAAATCTACTAGGCAATGTTTTGTAAGCTTAATCTGAGTTACTATTTGTACTTGAAATAAAATTGCATTTCTAGAAAAATATTCCAGAATTCACACTTTTTACTAATTCAGCCCAGTCTTTCCCCAGTTACTAAATATGTACATTTGTATGTGTGAGCTGCTGCTGTATATAGGTGACAAGATAAGTCACTCAACCTCACTTGTCCTTTATTTCCTCACAGATGAAATGAAGGGATTTAACTAGCCAGAGGCAGCATGGCTATAGTGAGGCAAACCTACTCGAAGGTACTCAGTCCTTGGTTCCAGTCCCTGTCAGGTAGATTTGGGCAAGTCTGCCTCTCTAAAC